AAAGCATTCACTTGTCTATATAAGTATCTTCCATCATTCATAAAAACCTACCACAGTATAAATAATTTGGGGGATTAAAACATGGGATAATGCTTAGATTTCACAAAATACATCACCTTAAGTTTTTAGAAAATTTGAACAGGCAAGGATTGAATTATTTTTACCTTTCTCACCTTTCATATCCTATTACCTTTTAAGACATTTAATTTTCTCAAAAATTTAATAAGAACACACACTATTTCTAAAAATACTATACTTTTTGATACTTAATTCCACATTGATTGATTTTATTATATTATTATTAACAAATGTTAGAATTATTAGCTGATATAATAACATTTTAGTATCTATATAATTAGTAATTGTTTTTTTAATATTTATTTTTAATTTTCATAGATCCTTTTAATAAAAATTTGATTAACTTCGTTTGAAATATTAATCATAAATTAAATCGATTATTCCATTTTTCTGTTTTTCTAATCTTTCTAAAGTATATTTGAAGCCATTTTAAACAAACTACATATGTTGCCCTTATTATCACTTAATCCCATTATACTTTGTACAGATTTTGTAATCTTACATTTAATCCACATAGATATTAGATTCTTTGTTGTTGTTTATAGATACCAACTCATAGCAACTGAAATCCTCGATGGGTTCATGCTTTTTGTCATTTATTATGAGGTGGTTTATTGGTCTAGCTGTGAGGGTCCTGGTTTTCTTTAATTGAGGTGTCATTTTTGGACTCTTAAAGGTCCCTTGTGAGCCATTAAATAATTGAAAAGACACTAATTCAGGACAAGTGTCTACTATATTTGATAATTAAAGTAAGTCCTTAAATTTTTATGGGTTAAGAATTTAAGAAGTTTTATTGGCATATAATTCACAGATCACATAATTTAATGGTTCAATCATATTAAGAAGAGTAGTGCATTCATCACCACGATCAATTTTAAAATATTTTCTTATACTCACTGTTGTTAGCTTCCCATCCCCCACAACCTCCCGCCATGCCCCGAGGTAATTTTTCATCCAGCGACTATGTCTATGGAGTTACCTATCCTGAATTACATAGACAGAAAATTGTAGAAAACACATATACACAAACACAACAATAATGATGACAAAATAATAGAAAAGAAAGCAGACATTATTAAAAAATGAAAAAAAAACTTTAAAATAGGTCCAGATGGAGATTGAATGATACAATGTTATATTTTAAGCTCACTACATCTGTCATAATTATCTTTAGAATGCTCTCTGACGGCAAAGCTAGTCAGATCCTGGGACTATGAGGGTTCATAGGATGCTTCCTTCATATGTGGACCCTGCAAATTGATGTGTGGATTTTAGGCTTCCACTATCTTCCACCGCCTTTTGCAAACCAGGAGTTCATAGTTTAAACCCTGATGCCATTTCCACTTTTGGATTGGCATCTTATTATTGACAATCCTTGGATCACACAGGCTGATGTATTTCTTCTATGTGGTTCTAGCAAATGACTCACTTAGATAATAGCTATGCTCTGCAATAGTATTTATCATTTTGTGACGTGTACAACATTTCTTTTTGAAAACCCATGTGGTGTAGTGGTTGAAAGCAATCAGAGGTAACCAAAATTATTGGTATTTGAACACCTTTTCTGATCTATGGGAGGAAGTCTGTTTTCATAAGGATTTACGACATTGGAAACCCTCTGGGGCAGTTTTTCTTCAGCTCTACACTGTCCCAGTGAGTTAGAATCAACTTGATAACCGAATGTTTGGGTTCTCTAGGAGGTTTGCCATTATTTTTTATACACAATTTAAAGAATATAAATTAACATTCAAATATTCAAATGATATACATAACCTATACAATATTTGTTTTCTTCCATGTGTAAGGTAGATGGACAGCTCATAACTACAGCCAATTCTGGGGAATGACTTTAGAAGAAGGTTTCAAACATCGCCTTGGGACCTTGCCACCGAGCTCCATGCTTCTGAGCATGAATGAAATGACAGTAGGTATTTTTTATACTTCAGTATGTGTGTGTAGATGTATCTGTATGTGCTTTCAGTAATCTCAAGTTACTAAGTGAGTTTTCGACATTCAGGCATAATTCAATTCTAAAAATAAATCTTTCTCAAGCTTATATTCCTCAAGAGTTTCATGTGGATTTGAACGTTTACTACTGTTAGATAGTTTCCTTTCTTATCATGATTGTATATTCTTTCTTTTAATTTTTCTGAAATATGTCTCTAATTATTGGTGGTTACTGGCACAAAACTTAAGCAAGTCATTAGATACTTTATGAAGTTGTTGTTGTTGTTGCTTTACACAACACAATAATTTTGTGGATTCATCAAACTCTGTATCATTATTACACCAGACTAAAATAAATGTCAGTAACTGCAGGTATGTATGCTATGGTGATGAATAAATGTTTGTCCTAAAAACTGAAATTCCATTACAAGATGTATTGGCTTTGAACTACCAGCGGTATTGTGGAAGAAAAAAGTGACACTTCTATAGAGATGTCAGCCTTGTTAACTCAATAGGGCAACTCTAATTCTGTTCTACGGGGTTTCTAGAGGGTAGACTCAAAACAGCAATGGGTTTTGCTTTTTTTTTTTTTTTGAAGATCTCCATTTTTTATAGCTCTTGCAGATGTTGTAATAATTCATAATTCAATTAGATCAAGCATGCTTATACAATTGTTGCCACCATCCATTGCAAACTATTTTCATTCTTCTGAACTACTTGGTATTAGCTCCCCTTTATCTCTGCCCCCCTCCCTACTCCCCTCAGGAGTCCTTATTGTTATGTTATATATGTTATATATTATTATTATTATCCATGTCTTAAAGCATCTAACATATCCATTCACCTACAATTCTGTAATTTGTTCCTCTCGAGTGGATTATAGTCATCATTGCTATAAACTCTCTCTACCCCCCCATCCACCCCCTTCTCCTATCCTCAGGGAATAATTGCTCCCATTACTGTTTCTGAAAGGTTATCTCTCTTGGTTTTCATGCATCACATGATCTTAATTATGCACATGAGCATACTCATGTCCAACTAGGTTACTGAAGCAAGACAAGAACCATAATAGTGAGGAGGGGCAATATTGAAGACATACAGGATGGTTGTGTGTTTCATCAGTGCTATACTGCATCCTGGATTTAACATCCCTTGTGTGTGAAATTTCTGTGAAGAACTGTCCAATTATCTTACAGGTGGGTTTGGGGCCTCCACTTTTCCCATACTTCTTTATTTCTATTTGATTGCTTGTTTTTGTTTATGTTTTGAACTTTGGATACCTACTCCCATCAATAATTCATGATCACACAGGCTGGTGTGATTCTTCCATGTGGTCTTTATTGCTTCCTTGCTAGATGGTCGTTGTTTAAATTCAAGCCTTTAAGACCCCAGATGGTATTTATTTTGATAGCTGTGCATCATCAGCTTTCTTCACCACATTTGCTTGTGCACCCATGTTGTCTTCAATGATGATGTTGGGAAGGTGAGTATCATACAGTGCTGAATTACTAGAACAAACCATTCTGAGGTAAGATTTTAGCAGAGGTCCAAAGTCAACTGCTTCCTTGTATTTATACACACACGTATACACCTATCTTTATATCTTTGTATATTTACACATATACAGATCTATGTTTATACCTATATATTTAATGTTTACTTTCTTCTATCTTCCTTTTTTTCCTTTTCCTTTTCTCCTGCCCCACCGTCATGATCACCCTCTGTTCACCTTTCCATAGTTCCTCTCACATATGTTTCAATTGATCAAACACAACCAGGAATGCTACATCCTCCTCACCATTTGTTTTAGTATCCTTGCTACTGCTCACCTCTCCACCTCGTCCCCTCCCATGCCACCCCCAAGTGACCCCACCACCCATCAGCCCTGTCACTGTCTCCTTGGGCTTGTTTATCCTGCCAATCTTAAATAAACACACACACACACAAACCCCAAAAGGATAAAAATAATTAAAGAAGTAAAAAACATGTGAATAGTTCCATGTCTAGTTGTTATCCTGTCGCAGGGTAGATTAGTATCTCTCTGTTAAATAGGGGGAAGGACTTGCTGTGCTCCATCAGGGATATTGACCTGGAGCAAAATGGGGACTGGACTGGACTGACAGATTACAACAAGTTCTTCACCGTATTTAATGGAGAGATACTCCTCTACTCTGGGTTTTGCTTTTGAGATCACCCAAAACAGGTGATTTGAATCCATATAGCACACCATTGAAGATAAAGTCTGTCCGTCTGCTTCTGAAAGACCACAGTTATGAAAATTCTATGGCATCCAGTTCTACACTGAGACACGTGGGAGTACCATGAGTTGGAATTGATGTAATGGTAGCTTGTACTAGTATCATCTGATAAAAAAGTACGTTTCATAAAAAGGGATATTTACCTCACTCGTTAAGGAGCTCTGGTGGAACTGTTGTGCAAGATTTGAGGTGTGCTAACCTCAAGGTTGCTGGTTCAAACCCACTAGCTGTTTAATGGAAGAAAGATGAGGCAGTCTCAAAAATCATACATACACTTGCTGTGAGTCAGAATCAACTAGATGGAAGTAAATTTTTGATGGTGTCTCCCAGTCATGCACGCTTTCTAGTTGTGGTAGTGATTAACTCGAGGTCTGGAAACAAACACCTAAGCTGGAATGAGGCTCTCAGGATACTGGTCTACAGCCTCTTCATCCTGCAATTAAGACATTAGGTTCTGGGTGTTTGAAGATCCTCAGTATCTCAGGCTGTGCGGGATGGTTGTTTGCTCTTAGAGGAGTTATAAGCCCACAGATTTCTCATTAAACCTGGAATGTGCTTTTGCTATCAGGAGATGTAATCACCTAAGCCACTAATTCAACTTCCAGTATGTTCGCCAAATTATAAATTGTATCAGAGAGCATAGTAATTGCTGCCATTCATTTGAGGAGGTAAGGGGCTCTGGTGGTGAAATGGGTTAAGTGTTGGGTGGCTTACTGCAAGCTGTTCAAACCTACCAGCAGTTTCTCGAAAGGAATGTGAGGCTGTTTGTTGCCTAACTTCTACCTGAGGGTGTTATTTTGAGATTGTTCAAAGCTATGTGCTTTGAACACATTCTAAAAAATTCCCGTGTTTTAGAATTTGACTCTGTGCTTGCATATGATTCAAATTTTTCTATAGTGAAATTGTTAAGAACACTGGAGTGGTAAACCCATTTTTTATCAATCAATGCAAGCTTTGTTTGTTTTATGATTTACTTGAAACAAAGACTGATCGGTAGCTGTTCCTCAGGACAGATTATAGCTCCCCCTTAGAACTTTACATGAGTTGTATTTGTAGATTCTTTCAGCACCTTATGAGATGAAACAGATTTTTATAGTTTCACCTGATTCAAAACCTTGTCACTATTTCTCAATATTCCTTGTATGCAAATCTTATCAGAGGCTCGAAGAACAATAGGGTGCCATCAGGTCAAATAAATTTGTAAAACAATACCTTATATACCCCTTCTGAAGATTTAGTTTGTTAGCGTATGGAAAATTGAGAACTTTTAACATGAGTAATTTTTTACTCATTATTTCTTAAGCTCATAAGGTCAAGGAGCCCCCATTTTGTTTACAATAATACTTCTGTAAGGCTTTATGTAATGATTTGGACTTCCCAGGACTTAGTTTTCACACAATACATTTTTAAAATACTGTGATGTTAGTTTATTAATGTGGCCCTTCTAACCATAGTTTCTTATGTGATGCACTGTAATCTGGACTCTACGCCTGTAGCTAGGACCTCGTTTTGGAGGGAGCTCTCTACTGCACTAATGGACATAATTATAGTGGGGTCAACCTCTACTTTAGAAAAGTGTCTGAACTGAAGTGACACCCTTCACAAGAGGAGCAAGGCTGAGCTTATGGGACTATGAGAGACAGCGATCAGCAGACTTCCTGGTCCAGGACAGCAGAGATCAAGGGACTACCTGCATGGCTGAGGACCAGGTTGAGATTCGGTGGCTGGCTGAGGAGAGGTGTTGCTGGGGACCAATGACTGTGTCCTTACTGACTTGTAATAAACTATTAACTTTCCTAATAGCCCCTCCCCATAATTGTATTATATGTTAGTTCTGTGTGGCTATTTCTCTGAATTATTGAACTCAGCATAAAAGTAGAGTGCTGTGGGAGGAACAGTTGGGTAGGATATGGTAAAGAAGAATGGAGGGGGGCGTCATGTCTGGCTCCTGTCTTCTAGGGAATGGGGAGCCAAGTGGGTCAGATATGCCCCGCCATACCATTTAACACATTAGCTTAAGATAAAAAATTGAAATGATAGTATTAGAGAGAAGCATAAGCACAGACTGTGGATAAATAGAATTTTCTCAGAGTTCCAGGAGGAAAACAATAAAGACACCTGCTTACCGATTGTGTGCAAAACTGGGGTTGACTGACGTCCTTCTGTGCCACTGGAAACATCAGAGTTGAAGCCAAGCAAATTGGCAAATGCATGTAGGTCAGAGTTTATTCATGTGCCACCATAATACATATTATAGTGGGCACAGCTATAGATCCCTGTGCTTAGTTCTCAGCCTGGTCCCACCCCCATTGCTGGACTTCAGTTGATGTATTTGAGCTCTCTCAACCTCTGGCTCCTCTTGTGAAACATTGCTAATGGTAGTACTTAGTACACGGGACTGTAAGAGTTCCATGAAGTGTTGAATATGAGGTGGTAAACACAGTATTTGGAATAGGTTAACTTCCATCATTATTGTTAAAACAATAAAAATTCCCGGACCTCCAGTTCACTTCAACTCATGGGCATCTTATATATAGCAAAATTAAGCTTTTCCCAGCCCTCTATTATCCCTACAATTATTAGCATGTCAAGTCCACTTTTGGCATGATTGTACCAATCCAGCTCACCTAAGTTCTCCGATGCTCTTGTTAGCCATCTTCTACAGTAGGCATGATATCTTCCTCTAGCAATTGATCCTTCATCATGACATGCCCCAAGC